GTCGCTGCCGCTGCGCGGCGTTCGGGTCACCCCTGCCAACATCTTCTGCACCGACCAGTACTTGAAGGTGGGGCGGCCGCGCACCGCGCCCTCGCTTGTCTGCCGGGGCTGCTGTCGTGCAGTGTCTCCGCCTTGGGATGCGCTGTGCCCGCGGCTTGGCGTGAATTCATAGCTCTGTTGAAAAGCACTCGCTTAATACACCGCGGCAGCGCCGTCAAGTTTATAACCTTTTATAATATTGAAGCTATAATGGCCCTTGGTACGCTGCAGGCTGTTAAGTTCCTATCCCACTAGAGACCGTGGCTTTGCCACTGGTTGTTCCTCTCCTCAATAGGTGCCAGCTGCCTTTGTTGAATTATACACATCTGCTTGTATTATGAATAATAATTCTAAATTTAAGGTCCACGGCTTCTGTTGCAGTGCTGAAGAACCAACTTGTTCAGCCTATCTGGTGTAATAAAATGTATAACCTCCATACTGCACACAGAGCAAATTCATGTTGTCAGTAGCATGTGTTTCTTGGGGTACTGGGTACCGAGTTTCTTGAGTGCTGCTTGTACTGAGTATTTTGAATGTGTGAGTTTTAATTTAAAATTGTAAATATTAGTACACATTAATTGTATTTTTATAGGTAAGCATCCCTCCCTTTTTATTTGAAGCCATTTTATATGCTCCTATTGATGACACAAATAGCACAGCAAAGATTGGAAATGGAATAATTTTCTTCACTTTGTATAAAAAAGAAGTGGCCGTGTGGGAATCCCTAACTCTAGCAAATGGTAAGTTCTCTACTGTGAAAAGTAGGTTGCATGTAAGAAAACCAAACTGAGCCCAAACTTTAGAAAATATAATAAGCAACGTGAAACTTCTGCTGCTAGAGATCTGCTAAGTTAAACCTTGTTGTTAATTGTTAAAAATACAAAGTATGTGAGAACAGACAAAGAACATCTACCCTCTCTAGCGCGCACAAAACTAAACAATGTTTCTCGTAAAACTTACATTTTGTGTGTAAGCAAGTCTTAGTTTTTCTTTTTTTAGAGGTGGGCTTGATAGACTGCTTTGTGGAATTTGAATCATGTTGCATTTTCCCAGACAAAGCAGCAAAAGAAATACTATTTTTATGAGCATGGTACATAACACCAGAACTTCAGGCCTAAATTACTAAAATAGTTTTTTGTTTTTTTAAGCTAACAAGGAGAAACTGCAATCTCTAAGAGAAAATGCTGTTTTAAAAGCCCATGAAAAGGCAAAAGAGGAGACAGAAGCAAAAAAAGTTACAAAACAGGAACACAAAAAATATGCTTTGGAGGCCACAATGAAGGTAAGCTTAGAAAGAACTCTACAAGACATATACATATAAACAATTACCAACTAATCTGGCAGCTGCTTAGTTGGATGTAATGCTTAGTTAAATGTACCTTAGAAATATGAAAAGTACTAATTTTTATTACAGTAGTGGTGAACCATATTATTTCTTTGTACTTAAAACAGATCTATTATCAAATATGAAAATGATACAGAAAAAATACTTAGAAGTTGCTATTTCCGTTAGTAATGCTAGTGAAAAAATTTGGTGAGGAATTCAGATTTTTGTCAGTTGAAAGGAAACTACAATAATATGGCAAAACTGTAATTTTTTGTGGCCTTTGCATCAGTGCGAGTGCTTAGTCATTTGGCATTGTCAAAAATACTAATTTAAAAAAAACCTTATTTATTCATTGTTTTGTATCAGGCTTGCTGTTAATTGCCTTTTGTGTGTATGTATCTTTGTCATTCTGCAGTTTATGTGTATTTTGAGATAACATTCTTTTCTTCAAAATGTTTATGTATATAAAAAGTCTAGTCACTTCATTTGTATTTAAAAGGCTTTTTTAGAAGCATACAATGAAATTTTAAGATTGCATATGGAATTTGGACCAAAATGAACTGCAGTTAGTGACTTTTTTAGTAGGAACATTGTACCTATTCTGCCTCTGTAATAATCTCGGAGAGAAGAGGAGAAATAAGAAATAGTGTATTAAAATGAAGCCATATATTTTACATTTCTGTATATTCTAGAGATCTGCATTGGAATACGGCTAGGATTTTAACTGTTTACAAGTTAAACTTACTTCTGAATGTTTCTGGATCGTACCTTAGTAGTGGTAGTAAGATAGTTAAAAGATAGGACTTCTAAAAGCTAATCAGAAATCTTTACTCTCCCAATCATTTTTAAGCATCTTTCATCACTCTGATTGTATGAGCACATTAATGGTGATGCTATGCTTGGGATATGAGACCAGGAAAATAATGGTAACTTTTACTTAATCGTCTTACTATTGTCAGATGCTACATATCTCATAGGTTTATCATTCAAACAGCTAGAAGAAGCAGAAAGAAAAAGAATTGAAGATCTGAAAGAAAAGGAGCGGCAGAAGGTCACTAAGGAGTTGGAGTTATGGAGAAAACAGCAAAAAGATGCTGAGAAACAGAAGAGGGTACAAAAAGAAGGGGAACTACATGAAAAAGTAGAGCAATTAAAAGAGAATAAAAAGGAAAAAATGAACAAAACTAGGACTCCTAATGAAGGAACTTCTAAGACCAGACTCAAACCTATTAAAGGTTGTATTACTGGAGTGTATTTTATAATTCTTTAAAGTGTGGGTATTCCTAGATGTTTCCAATTCATCATTTATCACAGCAAGGACTGCAGCAGAATCAATACTTTAAACAAAGCAAATTAAAAGGAGGATTTAATTTCTTTTTATTCATATTTAAACTAAGCACTACCATTCCTGTTTGAACTTGCATTTGAAGTTACCCTGTACCAGAAAAAGGAAGAAAGTAAAAATATTTGTAAAAATCTCAAGACAGAAAGAAAGGGGTGTTCTATATTCTTGCTTTCCTTCTCTTGTGCCTCCTGATGTGTGATAGATGAGTATTTTCTGGGCAACCACATTTTTTTTTTATCTTTTACACTACCGTCTATCACTTACCAGTCTACTACGCTTTTTTAACACTTCTGGCACCAAAAGCCTTGTTTAAAGATGCACTTCTGCTATTTCCCATTGTTGTTTGCCATTACAATAAGAGACTGTCACAATTAGCAACATATTCAGCCGCAGTTTAAAAAGTAAAGTTGTTTCCACCATACTGAATTAATTCTTTCAGTTTGAAGTTGTTGTAGTGTCTTTCAGGCAACTGAGCTACAGCATTCAAGTTCTTAGCTCTCGTTTTTAGTCTTTGGAAGTACAAGGGCAGGTTTTGTTCTAAGCTTTAGACAAGTAAAACAGAAAGCCTTTCTGACAGTGTAGTGCAGATTTTCTGAGGGAGGAGTTCACGTTAACCTGTTACCTAATTGCTGGTTTCCATAGACATACGCAATCTCCTTTTGCTCTCTCTAATCCCATGTCTTGGCTCCACAGAGAGGCAATTTAGGGAACTAAAACAACAGAAAATATTTACATTTTGGTTGGTTTGTTTTGGTAAGGTTAATTTACTGCAGTTGCCCTGTCAGAGAATCATGTAAGTGACAGATAGTGGTGTAAGAGGAGTTTAAGTTTGTTTGTGACAGATTATGTAGCCAGTAAATAGATGGCTTGATACAGCAAGAACAATCATTTTTGGAACCTTCCCTTCAAAAGAACAAGTCTAAACCTCTCTCAAGCTATTAGAGGTTTGGTTCTAATGGACAGAATTTCTAAATTATGTGTGCTTTGGACTTTGGTAGAAAACCAGAAAAATCTCCAATTCTTTTCATAGGTCATGGATCCTATGGTATGTTTTCAGAAAATTTAAAGGAAGAACAGTTACCAGCTCCTCGATCTGCGGCTACAATTAAAATCAACTTTACATCAAGAGTTTTTCCTACAGCTCTGCGAGAATCTCGCATTGCAGAAGAGGAGGAGGTAAGGATTGCTCTTGGTTTTGGTGTGATGCGTCCACAGTTTTCCAAGGTGGTGAATTATTTACTGTGTATTCAATAAGTTGGCAAAACTGTTAACTGTGCAATACTCTTATCTTCCAGGGAAGGCAGTCTTATTTAAATTAAGATTTAAAGAAACACTTTTATCTAAGAATTATTTTTACCAAACATGTGATTGTGCAGATTAATAAATAGTATGTTCCTTTTTCTGAGAGGGTAAGAAAAAAAAGGCAGCAGTATTAACTAAATTCCTTGAAGTACAAAATTTGAAATGTCTTTACTGTTATATTTAAGAGTCTTTAGGTTCTGTCTTCTTAAAAAGGAGCTCACAGTTAGCTCTTTTGAGCTCTATTGAATGAACACAAAGAGTAATTTTGGAAGTTCCAAAACAAACAAGCAAACAAAAATGTATTAATAATGCAGTAACCTTACTTCTCACATAATAATAAAATATTTGGGGAAACCTGGAAGTTTTTCATATCTGACATCATGAAACATTTCTCTCTGTCCAAAATACATGGCAAATAGGAGTGAGTGAAGAGATGAAAGCAAAATCCTCTTTTGGATTTGAATTTTCCTTCAGAAATAATACTTGCATGTTGTATATTTACAGTGGCTACGTAAACAAGCAGAGGCTCGAAGAACAATAAGTGCTGATTTGTCTGAGCTGGAGGATTTAAAAGAAGATGAGAAGAATCCAGATTGGTTAAAGGACAAAGGAAAGTAAGTTAGATTCCATTTGAAGATGTATTTAAAATCAAATATTAGTTATATAGTGTGTGTCTCTTGTTTAGTTTTGATATTTTCTATTTATCCTAGACACAGACGGTGAATGTCTACATAGTAATTTATTGACAGCTTATGGGGTTTGAATCTGATAAAGTCATGAGGTGCATTTGCTGAAGTTCATAATGGACAAAATCATTGTGAATGCATAATGCATATTCTTCTAGGATGACGGTTAAGTCAATGCAATGTTATGCCTAGGTGGATTTCCTTTCATTTGTACTTTTTATTGAGAGGTTGTTTTTGTCTAAAACAAACTTTATTAATTTGATTAAAATATTGATATGTTTATATAGCTGTGTTATACAAAAAGGTTTGATTAGGCAATCATAATCAGATATATAGCTTTCAAAATTCGTCCTGTGTCTGCATAGATGTGTCCACCTCTTACTGTTCTTTGTTGCTTTTAAGCAGTGACTATTTTTGTTGTGTGTCTATATGCTGTATTACCAGCATCAAGTTTGACTGAACTTCAGCTATGTTGTTCTCAGAAAAGGCTATAAATGGTCATTTCCATGGAAAAGCTGATAAAACATCAAATTTTTGAAAATGAATTGTTAACAATAAGTAGGTATTTATTTTGTGATTTATCACCTTGTTTAACATGCCTGTTCCACTTTTTGTTCTATACTTAGCAAAATGTTTGCAACAGGAAACTATCTTGCAGCTGTAAATGCGTACAACCTTGCAGTGCGGCTAAACAATAAGCTTCCCCTCCTGTATCTGAATCGTGCTGCTTGCCACCTTAAACTGAGAAATTTGCATAAGGCTATTGAAGATTCCTCTAAGGTATAAATATATAGGTTCTCAGACTGTCATCTTGTGATTTATTACTGTCATGCTTCTGTTTCAAGCAGATCTTTAAATACTTATTAGTGTGATTAAATTTTTTTTAAATTCAAAATTGTTATAATGAAGCCACGGTGAAATATAAAAATTTGATAGTGATTGATTAATGAACTTTCAGAAATTTAAAACAAAACAGCAACAAAAGAACCCCAAACCATGCTTCCACATATTTGAGATGAATGACTATATGTTGACTCTGTACATGTTTCTTTATAGGTAAAATACTGTAGCAATATATACACTTAAAAAAAAAAGAAAACTTTGAGCAGAAAAAAAGAAAATATACACAGATACCTTTTTTATTATGTTGTGGTGTTCTTCATTTGGTGGGAAGAAAAAAAAAAAAGCAGTGATGATGAGGAGGATACATTTAAAAAAACCCAAACCAAACCAGACTTTTTAAAGAAGGGCTGTATCATCTCAATGTTTTAGCAGCCATTAGTTTTGCAATGACAGAGGAGTGATCTCCAGTGGCACCTGAATACTTTGGAAAAAGTTTTCCCAGAATTATTATTTTTTGAACTAATATGTACTTGAGGTTTGAAACTTGTTATTTCTAGTAACTGCTACTACAACATGTGCTTTTTTAGGGCTGCTTTTTTTTTTTTTTTAGCATAGTATGTATAATGTATGAAAAGAGAATAAATTATTTGATTGTTATAAACTTTTAACACAGTATTTGTCAGATTTAGCCATGACAATGAAACTGTATTTAACGAACTGTAGGGTGACAGATACAAATCTTAATGACTAGATTCACAAGCCATATAGTTAAATTCGAATAGTCATTTTCTATTTCTATTTGAATAGTTATTATGTTATTATGTTATAATAGTAATTAGGTGACAGAAGTGTGTGTAAATGACAAGAAAACAAAAATTATGGAAAATCTACCTCTAAATATTTTGTGTGTTTTTGTTTGTAAAGGCACTAGAACTGCTGACACCACTTGTTCCTGATAATGAGAATGCTCGAGTAAAAGCGTATGTGAGACGTGGAACAGCATTTTGTCAGTTGGAATTATATACTGAAGGTGAGACCTCGGTTTTGTGAAAACATGCACATGGATTTATAGTGACATGCTAGACATTCTGTTTAGCTCAGTGAGACTGCTCACATCTTTATTTTTTCAGAAGGAACATTAAAGGAGGCCTATACAATCTATGTCTCTTTTTGTTATGAACTTTTATACCACATTCCTCTTTTTTTTTTTTTTTTTTAAATTTACTGGCTAATTGCAATTCCACTTGAAAAAATCTTTACAAGTTTTAATAAAATTGATGGTACTCTTAATTTAAGGAGTACAAATTAGTTTTTCTGTTGTGGAAAAGGCTTTAGTGAGTCGCACATCCTGTTTGGTCTGTTGGGTCAGTCTTTCTGTGCATAATGGCCACCTGTTGACCACAGCAGCTTGGTAGCCATGGGAGGTACTAGTGAAGAACGAATCAGAGGTCAGAGATGAGGTATTTGCACTGGGAAGCATTCAAATGTAGCCTGCAAACTGGTACGAAACTAGGTTGCACTAGTTTTGTTGTTCATGAAGCAATGTTTTATTGGTTTTGAGATTATATTTACAGTATTTCTGCCTATAGAACAAATTAACATAAAATAACCTGAAATTTTTCTAAAATATTTGCTTATGAAGTGCTTAGTAACATATCCTTGTAAAATTATATATGAAATCCGTATTGATGAGCAAAATGTTTCATCAAGTGTGTGTGATTTGTGTGAAAATACTTGAATTAAGTGTCCCTACTGAGTTCTCTAAGAGTATCAGCTTAGTTTCATAAGGCAAATTTATAAGTGAAAGTCAGTAATAGAAAGTAAAGAATATTCAAAATGTCGGTGTTGAAATACTGAGCTTTTCCCATTGGTTACCTTTTTCTACCTATAAATCACTTTGTCACTCCCTTAAAGCTTCATTTGCACTTGGAAGCCTTATAAAAGAGACAATTAAAAAGGATTTTATTTTACTTTCTGTAGTCATGGTTTGCTTTTTTTCCCCCCAATCTCTAGTGTTCTTTTTTTTTTTTCTGGTTTTCATGCACTTCTGTTCTATTATTCAATTTTTCTCTCTTTTGCAGAACACTTTTGCATGCTCCTCTCACGCATGCACGCATATGTGTGTATATATCTGTGTAGATGTGAATGAAGAGGCTCTGGTTTCATGCTTCAATACCTGAAAATGTTTATGTAGTAGAGAGTTTCCACTACATTTTTTTATAAAATAATATAAACAAAATATGAATTACTGACAGTAGTTCAACCTAATGTCATTCTGATTCCCTCTTGCTCAATAGCAAAACCCAAGATCAGTACTTTATGCACATGACTAGTGAGCATCTATTTCCAGTTCGTTCCTAAAGAGGATGCTCTGGCATTCTTGATTGACATTCTTTTTAATGTATCTATATTAGGTCTCCAGGATTATGAAGCAGCTCTCAAGATTGATCCTAAAAACAGAACTATAGAAGAAGATGCTGAGAAGATTCGACACCTAATTCAAGGAACAATGCAAGATTCTTAATTAAAAATAAAAAAGAACTTTTTGACCCAGATGACTCTTGAGGGGGTCAGAAGGAATCTGAGTTCTCTTCAATTTGTTGTTAACTAGACATTTTTCTGTTTCACTCAGAACACCTATAGAATTGGTAAAATACTGGATATCTGAATTACTATTTTTGGAAAGTATAGTATCATAACAAATATTATTAGATATATTTTGTATCATATATTTTTGCTTTCTGTGAAATATTGGTGGGCCGAATATTAACACATGCTTTTCATACTTGATTTAAAGTTATTCTTTCTAAAAATCAGAGCTCCACATTTATGATACCAGTTTCAAAAGTTTTATTTTTATGGGTTTAGGTCTGATTGAGAGAAGTGTATCATCAGATGGGCTACTTCCTTTTTGATACATCTTATTCAACCCAGCAAAACTAAACCAAATCAGATATTGACAGTTATTCCCAGAATGACTGAAATAACAGTCAGATTTTTTTTTAAAGCTAAGTGTCTAGTCTAAGGCTATGACAAAAAGACGGACATGCATTTTTACAGAGTATGCTGGAAATTGGGGTAGTCATATACCCTACTTCTGTCAATGGCAGTGTTGAAATAACTATCTTGAAATAACCCAGAGGTAAGTAGGTGTTTTGAAAAGGTTTGATCCCTTGGATGATAAGTACAGGGTGCCATCTGTGGGATAGGTGGTATAGCACCATATTCACTTGAAGTTGTTTTGAAGAGTAAAACCTGAGGCTTTGTCAAAGAAGCATTGGTCATGAGTGCTTTGGGGTCCAGCATACAGGAAAACACCGGATTGCCAGGATTTGCGCAGAGAGGCAGATGAGGACATTGGTTTTGCTCAGTGTCCAGACTCGAGGGCAGTTTCTCAGCAGAAGTCATCTTCTTTCCCTATTAAGGAGATGGATTTTAATTCAGTCTTTTAAATATCAGGGAAAAGCATTTCAAAATTGTTAGATGTTTGTGGTGAGAACAAGTGTTGCTCAAGATATGTATTGAAATACATGCATGGTGGAGAGTGAGGAACTTAACATTGCTGACTTTTGACCTTATTTAGTAAACTGTGCACAGTGATAAATCGACTCATGTTGACTATGAAGAATAGTAAGAATTGGAATTTGCATCAATTTCTGCATTAGGGATAATCTTGAGCATAGAAAATATCTTAATATGTGTGGCAGAAATAATTAGTATGCATAATAAAAATATGAATGAGATTAAGAATATAGCGAGGCTTTATGATTGGTTTGTTTCGGCTTTGACTTTTTCTAATATATAGAAATATGTATGCTAAAGTACAGCCCTAAACAAATCTCCAAATGACTGTACTTCCTTGCTCATGTTCACATGCATGCCTTTTTTCTTTTTTTTTTTTTTTCCCCTCTGTAGGGAGCAAATTAACATATGACAGATACTTCTTGGTACGTTGAAGGAAAGTGCTCTAATGCTGTTTTGATGAGCATGTGGTAAAACTGCACTGAATAAGGTACCTCCCTTAGTTTTGCTGAGCAAGCCATTTGAAACCTGGTGTTCTTGAGGTGCAATTAAATCTTTTTTCTTTGTTTCTCAGTCATGTAAGAGATTAAGGAAACATTTAAGGTGCTAGCTTAAGACAAAACTGAAGAAATCCTGACTTTTCCTGTATTAATGAGGCCTATTGTCTCCTGTGTATTTCTTGCAGCAGTATTGTAGCACTGGTGAGGCCTGGATCTCTGGGCTTTGGGATCTGCCCTGTTTGCACAGTGCCCGGCGATGGGCTGTGGTTGGGGTGGGAGCTGCCTTACCCCAGTGAGGAGCAGCTCTGGGGAAGGAAGGACAGCTTCTCCTCAGGCAGCAGGGCCGCAGCGGCCGATTCCAGGCCGGCGCTGTCGGAGACTTTCCAAATTACTTCATTCAGAGTCGTCAGAGCTTAACACCTGCCAGGGTTAGAGGGATCAAATAATTCTACTCCATATACTGCACTGGTTTTGGGGGGGGTTTGGGGAGTTTTGAGGGTTGGGGTTATTTTTGGTTGTTTGTTTTTGCTGGGGAGCGTTTTTGTCTGGATTGTTTT